GAGAAATTTGGTACGGGAAAGTGAGTTGACAGGCAAAACGAAACCGGTTTGCCTAATTGACAGTACGGTTCGAATGCTTCCCGAAGCAGAAATTGAGGTTGAAACCCCTTACTTGCGCGGGAAGGATACTGCTTTATGCATGACGACCTCCCTGTACGACCTTGTCATCGGAAACATCGACGGGGTGCGAGGACCGAATGATCCGGAATGTTTGGGAGGAGACCCTAAGATAGAGCCCTCGCCAACCCAGCGACCGCGGGATACAGTGGAGGAGCAGCCCGTGACGGATCTCACTAGAGCCCAAGGTGAAGCCGCAGTGCAAGAGACAGTGAATGAGAAGATGATCATGTTGAATGAGTTCACATACTGGGCAGCTGGACTTACGTCGGCACGACCTCAACCGAGCGACAGTGTAAAGGTGACGGAGTCGGTCAGCCAGGCCAAATGTCGGGACGTGAACAAGCGGGTGAATAACCGGGCAGGATCGGTTGAGCGTCATGACCCGTTAGCAGCGTCAGAAGTGACAACGATGGCTGAGACGCCGCCTCAGATACCGTCGTTGGAAGGGGCTCGCCAAAACAAAACGAGCAAAAACAACAAGAAGAGATCGAGAGAGCACCGCAAGAAAGGGCGCAAGCGCCGCTCGAAATGCACAGGATAGGTGCTGAGGTCAAATCGGAATGTGTTTGGCAGGGCTGAGTGCCATATGTTGTGTTAATGTTCTTGTTATCCTGTGTCACAAGTGTCGAAGTGTTTGTGCTGTGATGTCGAGCGACATCACAACTGTATGTCGAGCGAGTCAAAATGTTTGTGATGTGATGTATAGTATTGTCCCATTGTTGTAATGAGAGAACTCTGTACATTTGTATTGTTTGGAATATGTGATGTAGTATTGTATTCATGTACCGGTGGCTATATTCTATGTGTTGTGAGATTAAATTGCAATGTTCAGTTGTATTGAGTGATCTATTGTGAATGTGAAGTGTCATGAGTGACGGTTTGTGTTACAGTCTTTCAGAGTGTGTGGTGACTGTTCGCGCTCGTTTGTGTGGTTTTGAATATAATGAGATAATATTCTTAAAGTGGGGGGTAGTGGTCACAGAACGAGCACCCAAAAAGGGCGCGCCGCCAAATTCCCGCGACGAAATGCCGGAGTGACGCCGCGAGGTCAAAAGAAAAAGAAAAAAAATTGCCCGCAGCTTCCCTCGGGGGAACACTGAGGAGGATGCGGAGCATATAATTGGTTAACGGGGTGTTAAAGTGCGACTTACTTGGGTCGATGGCTAAATTGGTTAACGTGGTTGTGAAATGGGGTGTTAAATTGCGACTTACTTGGGTCGATGGCTAAATTGGTTAACGTGGTTGTAGGAAGGGGTGTTAAATGAGTGAACACGTACACACGTATGCGAAAGGGCGGCGCTGGTCGAAGGGACGTCGATCATTGTGTTTGTGGATTCGTTGGAATTCATTTCACCGCGACCTTGGACGTCGACGCGCCGTACAAACCAACCGACGAGCGGCAACTGAGCGAGCGAGCGCCGACCTTGAGTATATATACAACGCGACGGCGCATGCACTGTCAGCTGTCGAATGTTCGAGAAGGGGGAGAAGCGCAACGGCGCATGCGCGCGCGTCAGCTGCCGATGTTCTCGAAGCGCGACGGCGCATGCGCGCGCGTCAGCTGCCGATGTTCTCGAAGCGTGACGGCGCATGCGCGCTACATTATACAGCTAGCGAATGTTCGTGAAGAGGAGAAGCGCACGCGGTGTGTAGAGGAGGAAGGGTGCACAGATGGTGGAGGAGTGAAGCGCGCGCGGTGTGTAGAGGAGGAAGGGATGCACAGATGGTGGAAGAAGAAGGAGGAAGCTTGCGGACGGCGCCGCACTACAAGCCACGAGTATTAGATGCTCCGCATCTAAAAAAAAAAGAAAACAAGCTCCCCGGGCACGCTCCCTCTCCTCTCGGAGGCGTGGGTTCGCCCACGAATTTCCTCACCCAACAACGGCGGCCGAGCGGGCACTCGAATGTTCTAGATGGAAAGGGGCGTGGTGATCCCGGGTTGAGTCATCCGTCGCGGACGGCCCTCGTATCGTCTGGTCTCGACCTTTCCCCCAGCCTTCGCCGACGAAATGAGGAGAACTTTCTGGAATCTCGCGCGGAAGGTATTTAATCGAGCAGCCGAGACGAAAGATGAGGAGAAGACGGAAGTTAGCGCCAGAGCGCGTAGGGATTCCACCGTGTAGTCGGCGAAGGTTCTATCCGTAGAGACAAAGCAGGAGAAGATGATTTCCACCTGAGGGGTGATGACTCAAGCTACAGGCAAGAGTGTGTATTTACCGCTATCGAGCGAAGACGTGTGGCAACAGCTGCGTGTGTGAAGCCGACGTGTTTCCGACGAAGAAGTTTGAAGCTTGGAGAGTGGCCTATTGAAGACGTGAGGTTTCCTGGAAGAGAAACTTCGGGGGCCGCGGAACGACAACAACGCTGGACTTTGAGTGAGTGATTCTCGGAAGAGTATCATCTAGACTTTTGTTCCAAGAACGCTGGACTGAATAGGTTTTCTATCTCTTTAGTCTTTAAGTGTCTTGGTTGTTCAATGCATGCGACTGCATTGTAGTGCGTATTGTTGTCTGTGTCCGTTGTTTCGAGTGTGGCTGATTGTACTGTGTAGTACGTTGTTTGGTGGGTGACATATTGTATTCAACTATTGTGAAGTGTGCATACTTGTGTATTGTTTTTGATCTGCCATTATTGAGAATATAATTCTGTTTTGTTAATCAACTCTCGGCTCTGACTTGTTCTTTGGGCCACAGCCGGCGTCTACTGGCGCGCCAAAAAGGACCACTTCTAAATTGTCCACGCTTTCGTGGTGCGGTTCGAGGGGCCGATACTTCGGCCCTTGGAATTAGCCCGGCGATCGCCTCCCTAATTAACGGGACCTGTGTGACAGACGCGTTGTTCGCGGTCACGAACGGTGTGAGCGTTATCAGTGTGACATAGAATTCTTGATACGAAAGTGGCGAGCGCCGAGGTTTCAAGAAAGGAAAGGTGAGCAAGCCAGATGACGATTATTGTCACGTGGCAGGACTACTGCCTAAATACTCAATTTTTTCTTAGTGTATCACTGGCTAAAAAAATGAGACGACAAATGCAGCACAGCGTTGCACAGGAACAATCTGGTGTCAATATCTGACGAGTGTTTATAAAGCGTGCATATCATTACAGTGAGTATTACAATGTAGAAGTATCGCAATGCAGGGCTATCTTAGATGTTTGAAAATCGCGTAAACTGCACCTAGGGCAACGAACACTTGTCTTGAATGCCTAGCTCGGATCGTAATTGCTCGTGACTCTCTAGAACAAGTTTGGCTTTGCGAAGCAGTGTGCCTCAGCAGCTTCCTTCCAGATGAGCTCTCAAGCGCGCAGGTCTCCGATATTGTATTCTCGTTGATTTATAGCTGCACAGTGTTGTCCGCTGACCATTCCGCTGTGTATGGAGGACGCAAAAGAAATAGCCACGTTTTTTTGGTCCGAGAGCTTCGCAAACGACTGTTGCGTGGCTTTTTGTGGCCTCTCCGAGGCTCTAGCATACGATTTCAAGACTGCACCCAAAATGTGGACGGACCCATGTTGCCGGAGAACCAAGCTTTATATCACCTACAGCAAACTCTCACTTTTACAAAGGTCGGTTAAACGACTATTTCAGAATAACAAACTTTTAGAAAATTCCTGGCAGTTTTTCACGCTAAAATCTTTCAATTAAATGAATTTCAGTATAGTGAGTATTTCAAATGAATGAACTTCGTCCACAGATCTGAGCTCATTTTAAACATGTAATCCAATTAAGGTTTCCGTCTACAGCCCTGGCGTAGCCGTGCATGCCGTTCCAAGATCACCCATCCATCGACGGTGGTGCAACATCGCTTGTGCCATGGTCAGGTAAACTCTCACGTCTAGAATGGGTTGTTTTCACGCCCTAAAAACACCGCTAGTCGAAATTAGCGAAATCGAAATCGAGAGTCCAGGCCTCCAAATCTGTCCCCAGTGCACCAATTTGACCATCTCCGGGGCCTAGTGTTTTTCCAGATAATTTGCAAACATGCTACACCAGGGGCCACTCAGTTCGCACTTGTTCGTTCTGTGACAAAAAAAAAAAAAAAAAAAAAGACATGGCGCTCGTGAAGTCACTGCCTCAGTGCATGCGCGGACTAGTCTCCAAAAAAAAAGTCGATTACGCAGCGTCACGCTCGAAGCTGCACATGACATCTGCAGTCGTGAATGAGCCCCGTATGAGCATGCATGTGCTAATGACGTGCCTCCCTTGCATTTTCAATCCTCGTTGACCGCCTAGAATGCAAAAAATGCTTTGGTCGTGGAAAGCGTCTCAAACGGTCAAGTGCAACATTAAAATAAAAAAGAAATAAGCCAGATCTGATGCCTCGTGAGAATAAATGTCCACTTGAATCTCAATATAACAAAATACCTGTTATAACAAAGAAAATGCAAAATAGTTTTGTAATATATACAGTGTTAAGAATAACCTTTATAACAAATTTTCGCACATAGCGAACTTATTTTCTTGTAATATGCTACTTTGTTATAATGAGGTTTGAGTGTATTGTGAAGCAGCCTGCAAGGAGCAAATTATGATGTACACAACATGCATTCTATTATTTACGTCCCATGATACACAAAAAGAGCTACAATTCACGTCTAAAAAACGTCTTGAATGGCTAGCTGTACTTTCTGGATGACTTTATCTTTATTGTGTTTAAGGGCACCAGTTGAAATGAAAATTGCAGAATTATATTCAAAATAACCTGCATTTCACATTATTGACTTCATATCTGCTGTGCCAAATGCTGTTCCATATTACAGTGAATATTCAGTTCAGTGAACTTTCAGTTAACTATTTCTTCAGGTTCCTTGAAGTTGACTCCAGTGAAAGTTCACTTATTATCTACCGCACACTGAAGCAAGAAAAGTCATGTTCCAGACTGTAGACATTTACAAAAAGATATTTATTCTTCAACTCAAAAGCGAGTAACATTACTACAAAACCATCATTCGTGGGGCTATAGACATAGACATCAATTCCTGAAACAAGAGTTTGCAGGCATAAGGGAGGCGAACTTGGGATATCTGAAAAAAAAAAAAAAAGATGTAAAGAGGAGGTGAAGTCATTTTGCCAAGAATTCAGTGAAAACACATTTATCTTAAAGAGACACTAACGAGAAATAAAATTCATCTCACATTCATGAATCACTCTTTAAAAATTTCAAAATTGCTTCGCTTGCCGAGAGAAGATAATTGCTATGCGAAGCGCAAAAAGACAACGCAGATGGCAATGCCACCTTGAAATTTGAGCACCATGAGTCATGATGCCATTGATAAGTCCTAAGCAGTTCATACCCAGCAAAAATGAAATTCACTGTTTTCTCAGGGAACCACAGACTTCAGGGGGGACGCGACACTTCGGGACCGAAAATCAGCCAAAAAATCGAGTTTTCGCGGACCTTCTTTTCGCGTTCCCGACATCATTGCGCACCTATTTACAAAATTTCATAGCCGAATACCATCAACTTTTATCGTTATTCAACTTTAAAAAACCGAAAACGGGCGTCCTGCCCTTTAAATTGAGGGCGAATAGCGCAGGTTTCGGCTCTACGATACGCGGGAACTACGCGCTCGATCGGCGCCATTTTGGTCTTGTTTGAAAGAACGCGTTTTCAGCTGTTTTTTTTATTCAGTAAGCAACATTGAGCGTTTCCCCGGCTCGAAAAACGGGGCCTCAAAGACGAAGAGCCGCGCTCACTGCCATTGGCTAAACGGCGCACGTGACTGAAATGGCGCTTTCCGGTTGGCTGGAAGCTCGCGGCTTGCGCCTGCATACGCGACCCGACGCCATTTTGAAAGGGTTACCGCTGTGACGCCTCGAAATCGGCAGAGCACTCTGAAGCTTCTGATCGTATCGCCATGCCTGGAAACGCAAAAAAGTATCGGACCGTGCACGCATTTGGTCGTAGGAAACGCAAAGGTCGTGGGAGAAAGTCTACGAAGTCATCAGAGCCCTTGGTTGACTCCGACGAACGATGTGTCGACGCTCCGCGGCCGTTCAGCGATGGTGCGACCGAGCGCGTTGCCTCCGACGACGATGACGGTGAAGCGAACTCCGGACGACTACGAATCGACGCCAAGGTGGTGACAAACGCCGAAGTTGAAGAAAATCATGCCCGGGAGAAAGCGACGCTCGACCGGCTTTCATCGGCGCCAGCAACTGCACGGAAAATTGACTTTTTCACCGCGAGTTGTAGCGAGGCAACCGCACAGGACTCGGACCACGCTGCTCCTTATCTGCTTATGCATCTAGATATCCTAAACGCGATAATGGGTGCCTTGTGTTGCAAAGCCTGCCACGGACCGGCTACGATCGTCAGAGGGGATCGGGACTACGGACTTGCCGTGAAAGTGCTAGTGCAGTGTGAAAGGTGCGGCGAGATCGCAAATGAATGGACTTCGCCCCGCGCGAACGGCACGAAAACGTGCAATCCGTTTGAAGTAAATCTTCTCGCTTCGAGGGGGATGGTGGCTACCGGCAACGGCCAAACGAAAATGAACGATATTTTCGCAACAATGGGCATCTCGCACCGCGGTATGCACCACAAGACGTTTCAGCGGCATTTGAAGAACACGCTGGCACCCGCTGCAACGCGGGTGCCAGCGTGTTAGATTTAGCGTGTTAGAGTGTGCCAGCGTGTTAGATGATATTAGATTTATCAGAGTACAAGTGATTAATTTAAACTGCTTATTGTTTCAGTTCAGTGCCCCTTCAAGCTTTGTACCAAAAAGACTCGCATAAGCAAAATGCCTATATGCACGTTCTTTGCCTTATACAGTGAAATCTCGGTGTAACGAACTTCAGGGGGCCAGGGCATTTAGTTCGTTATTTTAAAAGTTCATTATAGTGAAAGCCCAAAAATTAACTGAAATACTTATTTTCCACCGACAACGACTTACCTTTAAGACAGTGAGCCCTTGAACTCGTCTTTCACAAGAAAAAACAAATGCACAAGTGAACACTAGAAAAGGCACGTTTGTTTAAAGACGGCTGTGATTTTTTTTTTACGCCTGCAGCACAAACTTTGCAGCGCAAAGGCTTCCAGCTCATCCACATTTCTGTGGTGCGACTCGGTGGTGCAATCCACTTTCTTGCTTAAAGAAAACTGCTTCCGTTTTTTCGTCGCAAGCAGAGATGAACTCATTAGGGAGCTTTAAAATAGCGCATCGCGAGCCCTTGAGGTGCGGTCGCTGCCACTGCGCATGCGACATGACGCAGTCGCCGGTCACGCTCGCGGCCCGCCCGTGAAAAATCCAAATAGCGGCCTGCAAGCACTGGTTTCAAGGCTACGATGTCCTGCGACTGTGCTTTGCAGTTTGCAGGAGGGCAAACACTATTCTAAAATTTATATGGTGCCCGCTATGCCAAGAAGCAAGGCGACCGTTCACTGTCATTTGCTTGCGTGCTGCTCCGGTGGTCGCTACGGATTTCAAAACATGAGTTCCCTGTACTGAGGCGTTATTAATATAACGGGGAACTAAAATAGCACTCGTGATTCTGAAATGTTCAAATTCTGAAGTACGTAGTAGTGAAATAATTTTACATTGAAACTATTAGCTAGCAGCCGACACGGGATTTTTTAAAAGTTCGTTAATGTGGGGTCCATTCTACCGAGATTTCACTGTATGCCTTCAATACCATGGCCTGGTGAGACTCCCACCCGTACTTGTTGCCTAACCAAAGTGCCTTCAGGCGAAGTCAGAATCATGGCCAAGATAAACATGTGCAAGTTTGTCAGCATGAGTGACATCGAGCTTGGGAAATGAGGTATGCTGTGTGATCTGTAGAAGTAACAGTTACGCATTGCCATTTTTCTATATGCATCTGCTTCGCTGTTCCCTGTGGTTGCTGCCAAAAAAAAAAATCAACCTTTAAAGCAGTATTCAAAGGCAAAAACTACTTCCGTGGCAATCATACAGCCTGCTGTCAGTTTCCGTGACCTGGCAAGGTTTATTCAATGCCTCTTCCTCGACTTAGACACCCAGAATAAATCTGCTCAATATGTGCTTGGAGCAGACATTTTATCAGTCATCCATTTAAGATAACGCAAAAGACAGTCACAGTACCAGTTCTAAGCCTTGCTTTCTGCACCAGCAAGACGGTAGATCCCGTTTTCAACTATAAGACGATAGCACTAAAAACTAGATAACAAAGTGATCGACCGATAGGCCAATCAGGAAATATAAGTAAAGCAGGTGCACAAGATTACCCTTACCTGCGTCTTGTTTCGGCAGCCCTTGCATTCAAAGGTATTGTTGCGCAGGTTCGCGATGGCCAGCAGGCCACAAAGATTGCAGATGTGTGCTCTGTACGGGTCCGACACTTCAAACAGGCGTTCGCGCAAGAACTGGGCTGCTCCGTGGGAAATTTGGCAGTCGCGTTCCATCTCGCCAAAACGCAAGCCACCATCCCTGCATGTCAAAAGTATATGCTTGCAGTGAAAAACATCAATACAGAATTAAACTTAGCGAAAGTGTTTACAATAATAAATTTTCCCTGATGAGCAGACCAGCTTTGGAACGAGAAAGTTAGTATTCATGTTTAGAAATGAGCTTATAATAATGCCTTTCTGAGGCCCCATAATGTAGAATCTGAATTTTCAAATGCACTCAAGGACACTGTACTGTTCCTTCAGTGTGTGATACAAGTGCACATGAGCACAAGAAATGGCATTCAGTAGTTAAGGGAGATGTGGGTTATAAAATGAAGTTTGTTAATCTTGAAGTGAATTCAATAATATTTATGAGTGTTGTTCAGTTTTTTCGTCTGATTTCAAATATGTAATTACATTTTCATACATGCATTACAACGAAAGATACAAAGCTTTTAATACAGAAATTAGATCGATTTCTCACGGGACTTATCAAACACTTCGCTTCAAGAAAATTTAAAACTAAATATATGCCAGGAAAGCCAGAGAGTTGCTCTAGCTGGTGATGCTAATTTCGTTGTTCTCAGCAGAATTTTAATACACAGAAAACATATGTATGTTTAATTGCTAGACTTGTGCTAATATTCATTTATAATTAGTGACAACTAGAATTTTACAGAAAACTGTAGAAATAAGCAAATAGCATCAGCGGCTAGCTCAATTCAGCACGAAAATTTCGATACCTGAGGTTTTGCATTTACTGAGATGAAACATGCAAAAATGTTCCGTAAGAATGTGTTTGATTGGTGGTTTTGGGACGTTAAACCCCACAAATCAATCAATGTGTTTGATTGCAAGAAAAACAAAGCTGAGAAAAATAGATCTGAACTTTCATTTCATTATAACGTTGATTAGTGAGAAAAATAGGTCTGAACTTTCAGTTCACCACAACATTGATTATCTTAGCAATCTGGCAATATAAATTGCATCACCCTGTAGCCCTGTCTGTCAGCATCAAGTTCATAATAAATAAGTGGCCACTGTTCATAAACTACAGAGACATATCTTATGTAAGATAGGGCATAGTCATTGAAAGCAACACAAGAAAGTCAGCACCAGCCAGGTTACATATCACTTCTGGTTCCTAGTTGCCCAAAAGGTACAAAAAAAAATTTACCTGTGCAAATAAGTTGCTCATTGTTGACGGCCACAACAAAATACACCTTTCACACACTTATGGCAGCGAGAAAAGAAGTCTATCTAGATCAAATCGCAGTATTGGCAGCTACGTTTGGATGGAAAAGAAAAGCATACGAGGTTTTTATGAGGCTCCCAATTGAAAAGAGAGTAAGGTTCGAGGAATAGTTTTTCTAGGAGGCCCCAACCGCCGCACCGCGCCGCAGCTGCCGTAACCTCAAAACTGCACGTGTCAATCCGTTGCCAGCCGTAGCTTAGCGGCTTAGCCAAGCCAAACCTCACCATGTTCGTTCATGTGTTGTTTTGTCAGCTCTGCGGTCGTGTGTCTGCGGTTGATCGTTTGCTGCTGCGCGCTATCTGCAGTGATCACGTTTCCCGACCTTCAGCATCCACCGAGTTCCTAGCTGTTTCATGCTGCGCTTTTCGTCAAGCGGATTCGCCAATCAGAGCGATGGCACCCACTGCTCCTTCATCTTCGTCCACGTCTTCAAAGTGCACAAAGCCCCCTCGTAGGCTCACGATGGAGAAGAAAGCCGCGTTCATTGAACAGGTCCAACGCGGTGGGTCCTAGGCAGAGGTGGGGAGGGAGTTCGGTATTTCGAAGCAAACTGTTTCAGGCTTAATCAAAAACAAGGTGAAGATCTTGGAAGTGGTTGCCAAATCAACCGGGGCTGGAAACAAAAATGTAAGCCAGGGTGTTTTCCCGAAGCTCACAGAAGCACTCGTGTGGCTCTGTGCCATGATCACTAAAAAAATACCGACATCAGGCGACATCCTGATGCAGAAGGCAGAAGTTTTCACGCTTCAGATAGGCGTGAAGGACTTGAAGTTCCGCGATGAATGGCTTCAAATTTCAACAGCTGCAATGACTTGAAGTTCAAGAAGATGTGTGGAAAAAGCGGCGCCGTCAACGATTCCGTTACAGTGCAGGCCACTTATAACGTAACCGCTTTTTGCGCGGGACCGGTTATAACGTGGGTTTTTTTGACCACCGATATGTCGCCCATAGAACTCAATGTATAGGCCAACCGTTTATTGCGTAGGCGCGTGAAGGAGACTACCGGTTATAGCGCGGAGTTTTTAGGCGCGCGACCATAAAATCGGCGAACGGAGCACGATCGGCACGGTTTCCCGGCGGCTATCCCGGCGCGCCGGAACGTTGGGAGTGTGAGCGGGAGGGCGCACATGGAGACCGTCGCAAAAAGTCAAACATTGCGGAGTAGAAGAGAGGGTACAGTAGGAAGAGAGTCGGGGAGACCTTGGAAGGAGGGAGCGTGTTTTTGTCACTGTGACGACTGTGGCAGCGTCCAATCCGAGTGCGCGCTGGGCGGAGTGGGGGAGAGAAGTGGTAGCATGCTTTTTTTTTTCTCAATTTCCTTCTTTTGTTGCCTCTTTGGATTTGCTGTGTGGGCTTCGCCGTGTCGTTGCCGTCTGAGAGCCCAGAGCATGTGTGTTGCCTAGCTCCTGTCGCCATGGCGTCGGCGGCGTCTTCAAGCGGTGTGAAAAAACGCCGTGCCTTATCGCTAGAGATTAAGGAATGCGCCATAAGGGACATTGAGAGTGGCCTGAAGAAGGCATCGGTGGCGGCGAAATGCGGCGTTTCCGACACGACCGTGTCGACCATCTACAAAAACAAGGACAAACTGCACCAGCAACTGCAGCAAGATTCGTCTTCCCTGTCACGGAAGCGAATACGTATGTCAAAATACGAAGACGTGGACGCAGCGCTGTTCAGGTGGTTCCGCGAAGTTAGGGCTCAGAGCATCCCAGTAAGTGGCCCCATGCTCCAACAAAAGGCCAAGTGTCTCGGAGCCCTTTAGGCCACGACGACTTCAATCCACTCAACGGGTGGATTCAGCGTTTCAAAGATCGCCATGACATCAGCTGCAAAGTGGTGTGCGGAGAAAGCAGCGCTGTTGACGACAAGTCTATCGAAGTCTGGCTTCGCTTGAACTTGGAAAGTATGCTGTCGACCTATACTGACAAAGACATTTATAATGCCGATGAAGCTGGTTTATTTTATAACCTTTTGCCCAACCGCACGCTTGCGCTGAAAGGCGAAGCCCGCTCCGGCCGCAAGGTCTCAAAGGAGCGCATAACTGTATTGTTTTCCGCCAATTTGGACGGGAGCGACAAGCGCCGCCTCTTTGTCATAGGTAAATCGGCAAGGCCACGCTGCTTTAAAAAGCGAGAGTGCCTGCCAGTGACCTACAAAGCCAATAAAAAGGCGTGGATGACGCAGGATTTGTTCACCAGCTGGCTTTGCAAGTTTGATGAGGATATGGTGGCAGAAAAGCAGCGGGTCGTGCTTATCCTCGACAACTGCACGGCCCACAACGTTAAGCCGAAGTTGACCGCAGTCAACCTAATGTTTTTGCCTGCCAACACTACAGCAAAAAGTCAACCTCTCGACCAGGGTGTCATCGCAACCGTAAAGGCGCTGTACAAAAAGTGCATTTGCGAGAGAGTTTTGCTGAGCCTGCAGCAGCAGCAGCCTCTTAAAGTGAACTTAAGAGGCGCAATTGACATGGTGGTCGCTTCATGGTGGCAGGTAAAGGCCGATACCATAAGCAAGTGTTTCAAGAGGGTAGGCTTCGTGCGCAACGCAGAGGCTCTGGAAGATGATGAGCAGAGCGACACGTCGCTCGCCGATGAGACCCTCAACACTGACGACATGTGGTCCTGCCTCGTTGACAGCAACTTTGTAACCGCCACCGACACTTTCCAAGAATTTGTCGATGCCGGGGAGTCGGAGCTTTCTGTCTGCGAGGAAGCGAGCACAGATGACGCGATCGTCGCAGCGGTGAGCGGTAGTGCGGAGGTTGCAACGGATGACAAGTCGGACGGCGAAGACGATGTCGACCCGACGCCAGAACTAGATTTCCCGTGCAAAGACGCATTGGAATACCTCGCTAAAGTGAAAACGTACTGCGCGAAAAACAGTATGAGCGAGAATTCGCTTCAGTGCTTAAGCTTTGTGGAGGACGAAGTTGTTCGCAGTGCTGTTCGTAAGCATCGCCAGACGAAAATAACGGCGTTCTTCCGCTGATGCCGAACTTGAGAACTTTGTTTTCAAGCGGTGTTGCGATTGTGTTGAATGTGTCTGCGAGTGAAAAGTGTAGTAAATTGCTTATGAAAGGTGGGTTGCCCTTTTGACATAGGCAAAGGCCGAAAAAAGCATGCTTTGGTTATAACGCGGTACCGCTTATAGAGCGGATTTTTACAACTCCCGTGACTTACGTTATAAGCGGTCTACACTGTATCACCAGATATCGGGATGGAAAGCTGCAGTCCTTGCTTCAGCAGTTTACACCTAATGATATTTTTAACTGCGACGAAACTGGACTGTTCTACAAGCTGCTGCCAGCGAAAATGCTTGAATTTGCTGGTGACCCCTGCTACAGCGGCAAGCACAGAAAGGAGCGGCTCACTGTCCACGCTGGCAACATGTCAGCCAGTGAGAAGCTTCCGTAACTAGTAATGGGCAAGTTAAAGTATCCAAGATGTTTCAAGGGCGCAGTGACTCTGTCTGTTCTCTATGAGACTAACAAGAAGGCGTGGGTAAGGTAACAGTTATTAGAAAGCGTACGTGCACAAGCTGGACAGAAGGTTTGAGCAGCAAAATCGAAGAGTTCTGCTGTTTGCGGACAACTGTGCTGCGCATGGCAGCATCAAGGACCTAAAGGCTATACAGTCGAAACCCGCAATAAGGAAATATTTCCTGATCACCGGCGAACGCTCATAGAAGCCCATGTATTACGTATCTCGCGGCAACGAAATGTTTTTGGATAGTGATCCCACATTAACGAATTTTCTACCACGGTGCAGGCCTTATTTTACACTCCCGCCAAAGGTTAACTGTCAAAAATATGCTCGTATGTGTGTTATGCGCACTCAAAATTTGTAAACGTCTGCTTTTGCCGCGCTAGCATGGGTACCGTCATTTTTATTTACTTAAGGGAGGACGCGGCTTTGGGATCGCGAGAAATGGCAAAAAAATCGATTTTTCGAAAATCAAGTTTTCAGTTTCTGGAACCCTTTTTCTATCTGATTCCAAAATATCTACACTGAGAACCGCGCAGAAGTGCTTCGGAAAATTTATTTCACCTACCCAGGTAGCGAAACTTTTTCTGGAAATCGAGAGAAAACAGCGATTTTCAAAAATTATGACTTCGCGATGGCGGGGCCGGGAGCCGGCTTCTTGGGCCCATCCGAGAGCATTTCTCCGTGTTTAACTTTCCCGCCTCAGCTGGCTCCTCCCTTTAAAAACAAGCACACAAAAAGCAAATGTTTAAATGTCGTTTCGAGGCTCTTGATTGGCTGTGGCCGCCATGTTGCCTTAGCTCGCCTCGCCATTGGCTTGATGCTCGCTCCGGGAGATCGTCGTCTGCTGCTTGTGCGTCGCGAGGACATGGCTTTTGAAAATTGCTACTTCGTGACGTGTTCACGGCTCGATGATCACTTAAGATATAATTACGCTTTAGTTAGGAGCAGTAGGCGGATGCGCGATCAGGTTACTACGAGCGCGGCGCGTCATCAGAGTCGTCTTTAGCCCTCACTTCGCCGACAATGAGACTGCGGGCAGGAACGACGCGCTAGCGCGCTCGTAGCGACGTGCTTCGTCGCAAGCAACGAAGCTGTAAGCGGCGGCATGGTCAGATTACTACGAGTGGTCGCACCGGATGCACAATCAGATTACTACGAGCGGGCGCGCTGTCTACGAGCGCGGCATGTCATCGGAGTCGGCCTTAGCCCTAACTTCGCTGACAGCGAGACTGTGAGCAGGAACGACGCGCTAGCGCATCCGAAACAACCCGCGGGTTGTTTTCACAGGACACCCTTCGCTCCTTCGGCGCACATGACGACGACATAGCAATGGACCACTTTTTCCAGTTTTGCGAAGGCAGAGCTTTGAAGTTGTTGCATGGCAAGGGTCGGCAAAGTAAGTTGACCGACTTCTGGCAATAAATTTTCGTTCTGCTGGCCGTATCACTGTTTTTATGCCTCATACTCGCGGCAACGAAATTCTCGCGAAAACAAAATTTTTCGGTTTCCCTGGCGATTTTGTTATTGCGGGTTTCGGCTGTACAGATTGAATTTCTGCTGCCGAACACCACAGCAATCCTGCAGCTGATGGACCAAGGCGTGATTCGGAACTTGAAGCATCATTAAAAATCACGCATGCTCAGCACATGGTGCTCTGCTCCGACAACCGGAAAAGCTACGCTGTTGACCTAAGGTCTGTCGTCATTCTAGCAGAATCATGGAAGGCGCTTACGCAAGAGACTCTGCGGAACTACTTTCACCACGCGGGCTTCACACTCGACGCTAAGGCGGTCGTCTCACCCCAAGTGGACAGCGTGTGTGACGAACTGCCATCCGCTGACGTTGCCTTCGACGATCTGTGCGCTGCCACCATGTCTATTCCAGCCGGGATAACCTTTGAGGGCTTTGCCGACGCTGACAAAGACCTCGAGCTATGTGCAGACTTGACCAATGACAAAATCATTCGTCAAGTTACGGAGGATTCTGACTCCGACATTGAGAATGAAGAGCCATCTCCTACACAGCCAATGAGCTCGGAGTTGACGCGAGCACTGATGACACTGTGATCGGTGTACAGTGGCAACATGATTTTGACTGAAATTGAGGCAGACACAGACATGTTCGCTGGCAAGTGGGACGTAATGTAAAAGTAAATAGGCGACTTCTTTGCGCCCAAGTGCTGACCTATAAGGTAGGGCCGGCCACGTCGTTTTTTTAATAAACTTCTCTAACAGAGCCACCTAAATGATGCATTGGCTGAATTGCAATGGGAATCTTGTACTCCGGGCATTACCCTCTCAGTCAGTGAAAAATACCTAAAAAAAAGGTGCGTTTTCACATGCATTCGTTTTTCTGGACTGCCCGATTTCTCGGACGTTTTTGCGGTCCGTTGAGGGTCCGGAAAAACGGACGTTGGCTGTAATAGCGAAAGCAACCACAGTGTTTCTGTGGGAGTATTTGCAAAGATAATGAAATACTACCAGCCAGCGCCACTGGATAAGTAAAAGGGCTGTTGACTCTTATGCGAAGCCGCGTCAAAATAGTGTTGCGACGGGGGTGACGACCCGCTTTAATGCAATAGCTTCACAGCACTCATCTGACAGCACACGTCTGAAAAACAATTCCCAAGAAAACAGAAAAGAAATCACTGCATTTTCGCTCGCTTATTTCTGGTGACTGCCAAAATTAATTAAACTGAGTTCTAACCATACTTTCCTATAGACGCCACAAGCCGAACTTGAGCGGCGTAATCGATACCCTGAAAGATTTTGTCGTGCAGTTTGTACAATGAGCTTTTGTTTTTTGTTTTTTTTTTAACACAAGCAGTAGGCACATCTAATTGGAGCTTACCTAGCCCTACCCTCCATGGGTTGGCGCACAAGAATCTGGACAGGGACCTCGGGCTCGGGAATGGATTTTGTCATCCACCATATGCTTCAGCCGCTGATAGTAAGTGGGCCCCAAGAATATCTGGGCGTTCACTTTTCGGCCTGTGTGTCCATTGAACATCACCTGGGTAGCAGAACAGGCACATCAATAACTCTAGACTTGTAAAATAAAGTGAGAAGCTGAATGAAGTACAGCACGCACCACTTATAATGTAACCGGCTACAGCATGACCTTTTTAAGTTTACCCTCCCTTAGAACTTTGTGTACATGCCTGCCGCTCTCTGCATCGTACTGCAAGATAACAGACCGGTTTCAGAGGCGTAGCCATGTGGTGGGCTTAACCCTTCCCGCCGTCAGAAATTTTCCAGTTTTGTTTGTGTATACCCTATTTACTTGCGTAATCTTTGCACTCGCACGATTCTTGCACCGCCCACATTGCACAACAAAAATATACCGTAATTTTCTTTTGCACGAGTAATTATCGCACCTCATAAATTACACACAAAATTTCGCCTACACTCAAACCTCATTATAACAAAGTTGCATCTAAGAAGAAAAAGTTCATTATATCCAAAGATTCGTTATAAAGGCATATTCTTAACACTATGTCCACTGCAAAACTATCATTATTTAATTGGTTATAACCCATATTTTGTTATATCCGAGTTCTTTATATCGAAGTTTGAGTGTACTCCTCAATCACTGATGATGATAGTGCACAACAGCCTGGCGCCTTCGCTTAAGCATTGTGGGTACTATCAATGCACGGCGCTCTAATCCCATCTAAGCCAAGCCGAAGTGGCATGTGCACGTCGCGGCATGTTAGTGTATGTTGTGACGGTTCTGCGGTTACACTACAGGGCGATGTGGAACCTACAAGGCTGCTTTCAAGCTTTAAGTGATTGATCATGCACTGACTGAACAATGCCAACAGCACTGGCCTATAGGCACTCTGGAGTCTCTACAAGTTTGTGTTCAATGCTGGCTACGACTGCACGGGCAGCTGAAAACCACTAAGACGCGCAGGGCCCTCCGTGTGCCCAAGACTTGCATCAATGTTAACACTTTTATTTCGCCAGAAGGCAACTGCAGAGGGCAACTGCGGACAAAAGAGTACTAGCGATGAGGGCAAACCAAAAGAGGAAAGAACGTGAACCAAATGAACAAGAAGTATATGAACAAAAAAAGAGCTCCGCCGCATCGCTGAGTTGTGAAAGTAACAACACTTCCTAAATACTTTTCAATACCTGTTATTGCGAATTTCAGGCAATTAATCGACTTAAGAAACAGAGAGATTGCAGACTATGTCTTCATTACCTCATTTCCTCTCAGATGGTAACCATACTCTTGAAGGAGGTTGGAGATCTTCTGTACGTTGACAGAGTCGTTAAAGGGTGTAGCGTCACCAATTTCACCCTTGTTGGCCGAGACCTTGCCTTGCAGGCACTCGATAAGATGGCCAATGGTCATACGAGAAGGGATGGCGTGGGGATTAATGATGATGTCTGGTGTTAGTCCTTCTGCTGTGAAGGGCATGTCCTAAAAACAAACAAAAAGAAAAAGTCAGCCATTAAGCATTACAAGCACGTCTTGAATTTTATGCAGAGGTGCAACAGCCGAAACACAATTCGGAGCAACTTTTGGAGCAGCAAAATGTTACTTTTGGAGCACTAAAATCGACATTTAGAGTAGATTACAAGAAAAAATTCACACCTTCTTTTTTTCATGGGATACCAAATTTGGAGCAGTATAAGCAAGAAGGCTTACATTTAAAAAAAATTTATAAAACATTCAACATCACCTAAATCGTCCAGTGTGAACAGGAGCACTGCTATTTCAATGAAAGTAGTATTTTAAACCACCCCACTGAGCAAACAGTGATGAAGTCCATATTAGGCATTTGCTGCACCTGTCAAATCATTTGACAGACTCTTCAAATTCAAATATGAATCGGCCAAGCTCGCAACCTTGAAATTTCGAAAATTCCTAAAACCGAGGAGTAGGGAAGGCGAAAAAAACTGGCACACAACTTAGCAAGTTTTTTTTTTAGGGAAGCAGAAATGTCATACACTGCTCCATATGATTTCAAGTAGCTTATTTAAACGTCAGTTATGATACTGGTACTCAGAATTATCCCGCATACAAACACATAAGTAACCTTGCAAAATGTGCAGTGTCTCGTGAATAGCGCTAACAGCCCCTTCCAAATCTCATTACGCTTTTTTGCTGGGCACCGGTGTAGTGCGGCAAAGGTGGCTTAAGCAGCATTCTTCGCATTAAGTTAGAACCAAAGCCAAGAAATTTTCTAACCTGCGATACCTACCCCCTTTCCACCATTTTTCTCCTTTCATCGGTGGGTTAAGTGCCCCTTCGGCTCCCTGGCAATGTGCTGACAAGAAAATAATTTTATTTTCCTAAGTGTTCGTTGTGGTGCCCTAGTAACGATCTTGTTCTAGTAAGCAAGAGATGTGTGCATATTTCTTATTTTTTGGCCCTATAAGTAGCCTTGGTATCGCAAAATAAAACTGTCGAAAGTTGTGCTACATGTGTGTGTGTGTGCGTTCCTTGTGTCCTCATTTTTAGTGCATTTTTAGTGTTCTTAATCTCGCAATGCACGTTCGACCAGGTAAATAAACAACGGCGCGTGCCCGTTGGCCCGGCCACGATACCAGATATCTATTGCCAGGACTGTAGCCGGGACGACGCAACTTCGAAACAACCGAAATGTTTAATGTGCCACTGCGAAGGCAATCGACATGGGCACTAGCAACCCGGCGTCCACAGCATGTTGAGTTCGTTCCCACGAAGAAATGCGGCATACGCTTTCAGCTCCTAACAAGCCATAACCCCGTTTTAGGCTAGTAAATTTACATGTCCAGCGAAGCGCTGATGGCTACTGCAATGCATTTTTGTCTTGAAGGTCCATCATCCCATCAATAAGTATCTGCTGCGGTCAACAGACCGATGGGTGCACAGCATTGTTACTTTATCTAGTCATATTTTAAGCACACTTTAGGCACTACAGTTGGGGTCTGCACGCTTTGACAGATAGCACAAACTGCAAGTGGTTATCGTGACCTGCATTTCTCGCCAAAATTAGTGCAACTGAGAAAATTTTGAGCCTGGCTGGGCATTTGGTGCAGCATAGTGCAATTTCAGCAAATTTCATGCTTTTGTGCAGCTTGGTGCAAAAATAGGAAATTACATCAAATTGGCACAATTGCTGCAGCTATTGCACCCCTGAGCAGTACTCAAGATCAGAGACACAGGGAATCGATATGTATGATCAGAGACACAGGGAATCGATAAGTCTTCATATGTATATACGGAGCAAAAAAAAAAAAAAAACACGAAGGTGCAGACACAAGAGCATTATCAGCATTGCATAATCTAACCACGTCACGGCCACAGTCCAGCAAAATGACACGTCAAAACATACTGCCCTAATCCGAACATACTGCCCTAATGTTTAACATTTTTGGCACACTCCACATCAAAAAAGAATCCGTCAACAACATACTTCGCACATAACGTCAAAATTCAATGTACCAAAGTAAATGGCTACTTTTACCAACTCAGCTATCGAATCTAGAGGATTGCCAGCATGCTAAAAAAAAAAAAAAGCTGAGACAGGCCCTGTGTAAACTTACCTCCTGCCGATAGGTGATACCACAAGTGCCTTTCTGGCCATGCCGACTGGCAAACTTGTCACCGATCTGTGGGATGCGCACCGAGCGCACTCGAATTTTGCAGAACTTGTAGCCTTCTGCATTCACAGTCAGCATCACCTGGTCCACAATGCCTGTTTCACTGTTCCGCAAGAATGTGCTGGCGTCACGCTTGGTGAATCGCCTGTTGGTGCTCTCCAGCTAAAAATGACAAGGGTCATGTCATCTGCTATAGCAATTACAAGATGCGAGCCATGCAGCACAGCAAGATTGCAATGGTTGAAATTTTGAAATTGAACTTAAACACTGCTGCGTGCATGTTTTTCATCCTCCAGAGTAACAATTATTTGCTTCACTACCTTGTAATCCTATCATTGTCATCATGAAGCTTGTAACAAGACAAAGGTTTAATATCTCGAAAGGAACCATGCATCATATACGATTACAGTGCAGTTTGCGGAATGCACAAAGAGTGCACACTGACCTTATAAATTTTCTGCAATGTCCTTCACCCAACCATTACAGCGACTCTGATTCAGGCACAGTTCTCTTTGAATTATTTTTGATCACCTTGAAATACAAATTAATTTTGCAACGTTCCACCAACTACAAGAAAGTATGGCAAATTTTTTTCACATTGACTGATGCTGCCTTGATGCTAGACCAGTGGGGAAGGGGATATTGGACTGCAACCAAGTCTTTTCGCGTGCTTGCAACGGTAATCTGCGCGAACTGCTCCTAGCCGAAACGGCAATATGATTACGAGGAATACCGCAGTGAAGGGATCTGAAAATTTTGTCCGCCAGAGGAGCTATCTGCATATGTTCTGTGACAGAACAAACAGAAACGTAACGACTAATTGATAGATATGTGGGTTTTAACGTCCCAAAACCACCATATGATTATAAGACGCCGTAGTGGAGGGCTCCGGAAATTTAGACCACCTGGGGTTCTTTAACGTGCGCCCAAATCTGAGCACACAGGCCTACAACATTTCCGCCTCCATCGGAAATGCAGCCGCCGCAGCCGGGATTTGAACCCACGACCTGCGGGTCAGCAGCCGAGTACCCAGAAACGTAACGAGAGACAGCAAAAAGCCAATAGGCGAAGGGTGAGTATTTCGGATGGATGGGTCCGTATTGATAGTCGGCTGAGGAATTCAGAGATATCCGCTGACGAATTCAGAAATGTAATCAACGCATGAACACAAAATTACCATTAGTAAACTTTACCACTAGAAATTGAAGAGCACGATGACTTCAACAATTTACTTGTGCTACCGTCTTGATTGAGTGCTAGGCAGTGTTGCAATCTCACGAGATGTATGATGGAAGCAGTGGTTGCGATTTTCACAAAGCATTGGTGCGTGATTGGAGCAAGCCAGATACCAAGCAAGTTTCAATTCTCTGGGCAAAGCTTTTGCATTTCGATCCAATCCAATTTCTGGAGACCGCTCTGTATTTGTTTTGTCACACGTAATGGTGCCTCCTTCCATTCTGTGCTCGTTCTTTGTCAAAGTAATTAACGACACTGCATCTTACGGTTTCGATCCTCAATTCTGTTCACCATACGAACCTCGACCACTCCTGCGCATGCAATTCCCTCAGTCCTATTCTCTCACGATGTTTTATTCTATCACAGAACAAGATAGCTCCCCTTTAATGTGTGCATTAATATATGTACATGAACCTCCGACATTTCACTTCTCTCGACATAAAACCATCACAGCCAGGAGTAAACCAGCAAATTTTGGGCTGGCAGCCTAGCAATGTAACCACTGTACTACCAGGGCAGACATCTAGTTTCATATTAAAGGGTCCCTGCAAACACTTTTTCAGCATAATCAGAAAACGCTGCCAATCCATAGTCGAGGCTCCTAGAACACACAAGGAAGTATTATAGCGCAGCATGCAGCCTGGAATTTGCCACTAATTCTCCAAACCAGCCAGTAATCCTTCCCCCTTTTTTCTGTAAATATTGCTATATAACCAAATGCACGTGCCCAATGTCCATGACTGTTGGCTGATTTCAGCGACGCGAGTTCGCCAGGCAGCCACAAAAAGCCGCCACATGTCTGTGCGCACTGCCACACTAAAAGTTGTGCGTTCCAAGAAAAAAAGAAAAAAAAGTGCTCAAGGTTGCGACGCCTGCATGACATATTCGAGCACTTTCGTCGGAACAAGAAGAAAAACGATTGCAGCGTCTGACAAATCTTTGCGACTTCACTCTTCAGGATGGATTCTATTAATTTTTGCTGTGGTCAATTCGTGAGGCAATAAGCTCCTTCATGAACCCATCCCATGGCTATTCGAAAAACTGTTTCAGAACCCCTTCAAAATAGAACATGCACGATACAGTCGGACGGAAATTTCAGCACACTTAGCCTGAACTAGAAGGCATTAAAGTCAATGGTCTAAAGTCCTTTTTCCATTGGCCAGTGACTTATTAATAATAACACTACACAAAGACCACGGATCGGGTATCTTTTGGTGCCAGGGCAGCCGGCTGATGTGCTCGCGGGCAGCGGCGTGAGCCGCTTCATTTTCCTGTAGACCCTCGTGTCCAGGAACCCAGATTACACAGGTGTATGGAAGTGGAGAGCTTTGCCATTGCAGGAAGAATAAATGACGATCACCTAATGGCAATGTGGGAGGCTAAGCTCATTGTCGAGGACCTGGAAGACCAGCGACAACTCGTCGCCAGGGCCAAGAGGGCAGTCGAAGCCAGAGGGTTCCCTAGACTAGGGAACCCTCCCACCTTAGGGTGACATTGGCCTCGCTTGGAAACACTGTTTCTAACTAAGCGTTTATTTTTCTCTCTCTCCACAAAGACCATAAAATGGCTGCTGTACATTTGTGTATCCTGTGAACGTAACAGTCGAAAAAAGTACTGTATTCATACAAAATTTTAATACTTACACCGTGAGATATTTGTTTGCTATCAATGTGGCAGCAATATTTTTTGAAAACAGGCACCAACTTAGTCACTAAAAAGTTCAGCGAAATGGCTTTTTGAGAGAAGCAATCAAAGGCATCGATTGAGATACATCTAGTGCTCACAGAAATAGACTCATTCCTATAGTCGAAGAAGGTGTCCTTACATCATCATCATTTTCTGGCAGGGTGATCGTCTTGCCAATAATGACATCGTCTCCAGACACTCTGGTACCTGGTGCTATGATGCCATCATCATCCAGCTTGTCATAGATGGCATTTCGCATGCCTAAAAGAAAAAGACACGTTGCAGGTTTACATAAAGTATATAATGTGACTTGCACAAGAATAGTCATGCTGAATTCAACACCCACCCTGGCAGGTCTCCCTTGTTGGCTTCTCAAACTGTTCCTCCTGGTCACCGACCCTCTTGCATTCAGAATCCTTGTAAGACCGATAGAACACCGACCTGAGAAATAGCAAGCAATCTCTGTTACAATAACCTCACTATGTGTACATGTGTGTGTGTGAATGTATATATACACGCACGTTTCGGCCGTGGCATGGCCTTCGTCAGCATAAGTGGGTATGATACAATCCAGCCGATTTTATGGGCTCACGTGATGAACTCTCGGTACAGCAGCTAGGACAATCGAAGTGAATTGGTAATCTGTCAGAAAGCTTGGGTTAACATGACTCACATGCGACGGGTGCATGAATATACAAGTTTCAAATTTCCTTGCGCATCAACACGTGGGACACAGTGTGGTTGGCAAGACATAAAAAAGAGCTCTGAAATAAAGAAACCACGGATGACTAATATACATTTAAATATACATTAAAAGATTTTACTAATCAAGAAGTCGTGTTGTTATAGTGCAAGACAGGTGAGATTTCCTACGTTTTCATTGATGCCTGAACGAATGGTGTTAAATTTGTGGATCAAGAAAGATTCCCTCCCTTCCCTATCGTGACTTGTCTCGAAACCGGACTGAATTTATAGTGGCCCTAATTTTGTCGAAACCATGGCCAGGCGTACTAACGTGCTTCGACACACACACACACACACACACACAGACACACACACACACACACACACACACACACACGCGCACGCACCCACGCACGCACGCACACACACACACACACACACATTTATACATATGCTCTTGCTTGACTGGTAGTACTGTTTCGTTCAGCTTAAGAATCAAGACCACCTGCAAGCCTCTTTTCCAGGAATATAGTAAGGCAACTGTCTTTTCTCTGTAGACACTTGGTAATACTTGCACTGATCGAGTTATTCCTATCATATTTCATGCGTAGATGCATGCACGTACATTCAGGTGCGTGTAGTATTTACAATTACAATTTACATTTACAACCTTTTCAGATACTTTGTACACAATTGTGTACATCCCTTGTTTTTGCTAGACGTGTCAACTAGGAACTAAAAAAGTGCAAGATACCATGAGGTTTCGAAGAAATGAATCTTCTCCAGCAAACTTGTCTTCATTTAACTTCAGTTTTGACCGTACTGTTGCATATAATCACTTTTCTGAAGGCATTACCATAGTCGACGAGTCGTTTGACGTGGTGCTTCCCTGGTGCCACGTCGATATATATTTCATTCTTTTATAATATCAACAAAACCAAAAACCGATTTGCACTATATTTCTAGTCTGAGATTTGATTTAGATATGCAAAAACTAAACATGAATGTCTTCAGGATAAGTAGATATTTAATGAAAGCTTAATTTTTATTACCTGCTACAGAATGCATAAATCAATCTATTATTAAATTTTTGTTGTTGCAACCGAATATAGAAGGCCTTGAAATCATGCTGTGACAATTTGACCCATTTGCAGGCAGTTCTTTATAGATGGCACCTGAAATAGTTAAGAGTAATCAGGAGGAGGTGACGTGCTTTCGTTGTTTAGTGTTCCCAGGCGGCAACAAGTAGTGGGCAACCGACCAGTCCACTCGCGCCGTGTAGGCACTTATCACACTGTGCTCAGCACGTCTGCGAGGCATTGTTAGATATCTTGAAAAGAGCTTCATTTACACACTATAAATTGAACCCGAACTCTCGCTTTAATCATGATAAATACAAAGGAAATGCGATAAGAGTGTCAGTCTTCCATCAATTTCGCTGAGTGACGCAAAATTTATGTAGTTATGCAGAACGTGCAATATATCATATCCGTGTATATCTGTATTTTCTTGGTAGGCACCTTAATGAATTTATTTTTGCTTTATGTCTTTTTGCTGCATTGTGCATCACCTATATACGGTAGACTCATATTAAAAGAAACCTGAAGGGATGAGGAAATTATGTTTATGTAACAGGAGTTGAATTGAGACATGAACAAGCGTTTAGAATACAAGGATGAAAACAATCTTGCCAGAAGTACTTGTCCCATTTGATAACAGTTCGTAAAACAGATTTCCATTTGCTGATAGTCTACTGTATACAATTGTTTTTCCCAATCAAATTTATAGGCAAGTCAGCGCATGTCCTGCGTTTCTTATTTTTCGTCATCATCCCATGTGCACTTATAAACCGCGATGAACTTGCTCAAGCAACTCGCTCAAAGTTCCACTCTTATCTAGCTCTAAATTCTTGCATATGTCTGATTTCTCTATCGCCCGAAATTCCAGACGTGCCTGATTTCCTTGACTCCTGCCACTGTCAAGTTCCCCATTGAGTAAATGTATTAAAAATCCCGAAATACCGGACGCTTACGAAATTCACTACTTGATTTTCCGGACTCTTTACCGTTCACCCTGGACTGAAAATCACTGTCAACGCCACCATTTTCGCTGTTTTCGTACCCTCGAACGCACCACACCACGGCTGCCATACCCTCGAAACGGCAAATGCCGAAATCCAGTGAACACCAATCTGTTGCAGCTACAGTCAAACATGTGGCCACAGCCATGCCACAGCTGCATGGTGATGTACCAGGTCTGTGCCTGTGCTTCGAAAAGCCATGCTTTGATCGAGGGTCTGCCATCGTCACGCTTCCATACTCGTGAAAGGGGGTTACACAACAGACCTACCGGAACTGTTTTCACTACGCAAGCATCATACTGGACGCTGAGATGACTGTCTCACCGGGGAGAATAGAGTGTTTTATGAGCTTCCGTTCGCAGACGTTGCCTTTGACGATCTGCGCGCTTCCAGCGTTTTGATTCCGACCGAGATAACCTATGAGGGCCTTGTAAACGCTCACAAAGACCTCGAGCTGTGTGCGGAGTCAACCGATGAAGAAATCATTTGTCATGTTATGAAAAATTCCAACGACTCTGACACCAAGATCGAAGAGGCAGCGCCTACACATCCAACGAGCTCGTAGTTGACGCAAGCACTGATAACACTGTCATCGATATAAGCGACAGCATGTCGTTAGCTGAAAATGAGGCAGACATCATTGTGAGCAAGTGGAACACCGTGCGAACGAAAATAAGCGACATTTTGTTTTTGCCCCTACCGTAATTACTCGAATCTAACGCACACCTTTTTTCCAGTTAAGCGAATTCATAAATTGCATGCGCGTTACAATCCAGTTCGAAAAAAAAGAAAAACTGAATACGGTCATTCTATTGCCATCGGCATATCCAAAATGGCTGCCCCCTACGTGCACCGGCATGGCGCGTTGGCCATTTCTGCCTATATGTTTCCCATGTGCGGCAGTTCGTACGTGTGCTGAGGAGTTCGTCATCTTGTAGTGCATTAGCGTCGATGGTATGGAAGGACCGACTCCAAAAACTCGAGTGCACCACGATGCCGCTTTTAAAAGAAAAGTCATCGCGTGTGTAGAAACGGATGGAAATGGGCCGCATCGCGGTCGTTCGGGGTTCCCTGAAATGTGCGTGCGGGACTGGCGGAAACAAAAGCAGAAGATTGTCGACAGCAAAGCTTCACGCAAAGGCTTCAGTGGACCACAGCAGGGTCGGTTTCCGCAAATTGAAGAGCTGCTCGGCGAGTATGTGCTTGAGCAGCGAGCGGCACAGCGGCCCGTGACGACAGAACTGCTCCAAGTGCGGGCTATGCAGTTAGCCTTAGAATAGAAAAAGGGCTAATGCGGAGCCAGTTTAAAGCGAGCAGGTGATGGCTAACATACTTTATGAAGAGGAAAAGCTTTTCCTTCCGAAGGCGAACGGGCATATGCGAAAAGTTTTGAGAGGAGTACGACGAAAAACTTCGCAGTTTTCAGAGGTCCGTCCTAAACTTGCGGCGCAGCAACGGCTATCTGCTTGGGCAAATCGGGAATGCCGATCAGACACCCTCTTTACTTGGACATGCCTAGCACCACAACTGTCGAGAAGAAGGGGGTGAAGCAAGTTCGCGTGCCGACATCGGTCCACGGTAAAACTGCAGTGACGGCAATGCTCTGTTACACGTCAATGGGCACAAGCTTCCCCCGTACCTCATATTTAAATGGAAGACGCAACTTAAAGGAGTCGTTTTTTCGAGTGGTGTGATCGTGCGGGCCAACGAGAAAAATGGGTGCGCGTTGCAATCGATGTCTTACTTTTTTTTTTTTGCCTTCGAAACCGGGTGCACGCTGCAATCAAGGGCGCGGTAGAATCGAGTAAATACGGTAAGTGTTTACAAATGCGGTAGCACCGGCCACATTAGATTTTTTTTTTCTTTCTTCCCCCTTTCTTTTTTGGTTCCTGTCATAGCCACCTAAACGATGCATTTGCTGAATTTCAACGAGAATCCTATACTCCTGCCGAGTCCCTCTCTATCAATGAACGATGCCTACTAAAAAAGCGTGTTTTTGCTTATATTCATTTTTTCGGGCTGCCCGATTATCCAGACGTTTTTGCGGGCCCTTGAAGGTTCGGGAAATCAGACGCCAACTGTATATTATGCGGGGTAGATGTGAGAAAATACAGTAGTCCCAACTGCAAAAAACTAGCAGTAAGAAAGATCCGGCACAGAATGTAGAGGCACACAGTTGATGTGTGTCATTCCATGCACAATAATGTGGCAAAGCTACAAGGCAGACGCCTACCTGAAAAATCCCCGGTCGACGGCCGAGGCGTTGACAATGATGGAGTCCTCCTGGTTGTATCCTGTGTATGACATAATGGCTACGATGGAGTTGATGCCAGCTGGCAATTCACGAAAACGGAGGTACTCCATTGAACGTGTTGTGGTCAGCGGCTTGTGGGGATAGTAGAGCACATGGGCAAGGGTGTCCATGCGCACGTGGAAGTTTGTGATGTAGATGCCCATGGCTTGCTTTCCCATAGCAGACTGGTATGTGTTACGGGGTGACTGGTTGTGGTCAGGAAAGGGGATGATGGACGCGCACACACCAAGAATCATGGATGGGTGGATCTCACAGTGCGTGTAGGTTGAACAATATGCGAGTCCTTTGTCTTGCAGGTCGTCGGGGGTCATCGACAGCATAACAGTCTCTTCCTCGAGTGTGTCGATGTACTCGACCACTCCACTGGCCACCAAGTCTTGCCAACTGTAGTTATTGTATTCCCGATCCTTCAGGTTGTCAATGTGGCGGCGCTTGAGCAGAAGTTTCTGGTCTTCAACAATAAGGAGGGGCCGGCAGATGCGGCCCGCGTCGGTGTAGATCGAATTTCTCGATCTCTGATGTCCCGCACCATCGACACTTCTGACACGATGATGTCCATCTGTCGGCGCAGCTTGCGAAGTGTGTTCATCAACTGGTCCGGGTCCCTGTGAATGCCTACCCAGCACCCGTTGACAAATATTTTTGTAGCCTCTGCAATGGCTGAAGGTGCAATCTCCTCCAAGTTCTCCATGCTCCATTCTTCCAAGAACTCAAGGATGGGCGAGGGCTGCGAGCCCACAGAAATGTAGGACATAAGGGCGAGGTTCTTCACCAGACCCACAGCGTGGCCTTCTGGTGTCTCGGCTGGGCAGATCATACCCCACAGTGTGTTATGGAGCTGGCGGGGCTTGGCAAGTTTCCCATCTCGACCGATGGGAGAGTTGACGCGCCGAAGATGTGACAGAGTCGAAGCATAGGTCAAACGATTGAGCACCTGAGACACCCCCGCACGTGCCTGATGTGCCTTTTTCTGGTCGCCCCAGTTTCCCGTGGCCAAAGAGTACCGCAGCCCGTCGGTGATGATGCGGGTCTTGATGGCCAACTCGAGGTTGAAGTCCTTGCCTCGGTCGATGAACTTCTGGGCATACATGCGTACCTCTTTGGTGAGGTTGCGGAAAAGACCCCGAAACAGAAAAGCCATCAGGGGACCAGCCAAATCTAGGCGCTTGTTGCCGTAGTGATCCCGGTCATCCAGCTCTCTCCGTCCAAGAGCAGCAAGCAGCAGCCGGTGAACCATGTACCTGAAAAGGCCACAGAAAGAGAAGTATTCGTGTAAACTAAGCAGAACGATTCTGTTGCTGTGCTGGCACAGTTACTCAGATTGGTTCAGCAAAACTTCAGGGTGACAAAAAAAAATCCCCTTAATGAAAAGACACAAAGACTGTAAAACAACAAAGTGCAGCTTATGCAAACAAAAAAAGCTATTGTTCACACATGGCACTAGTCATGAAACTCTTAATCTCTTGCGGTTTCTCATCCAGCCCCTTTCGGCAATGTAGCCCGGCTGCGGCAGTCTGCTGTCAGGCCCTGCTCGACAAGTTCTTTTGGGTTGAGTAGCACCACCGGACAGCAAAAAACTGTGGAGGTCCCTCAGTCTCACTTATGAATGTATTTTGCCATCAGGGATCACTGGGACTCAAATTCATAAAAATTTTCTTCCACCAGACTTAGTAAGCTTCACCAAAAATTTTCTCAATCGGACTCAAGCTCACCAGAACATTAGTCAGATAGAATCACTCACACTCAGACTCACGGCTCGATCCCAGTCTGAGTGAGCCGGCACAAGTCAACTCATAAGAGAACTTGCTGACCCATGAAAAGCACATGGGGGGCTTCTCACTACACATTATCTCTGGAACCATAATCTTTCACTCTCAAGCTTTGCCTTTGTTTTACGACAGATGGCAGCTGCACAGTTCAGAGCCTGGAAATATTTGAGTGCTTAGGCAGCCTCAGCGGATCACTTTCCACACTGCTTGCGTAAAGCCTGACCATCTTCTTGCTAAGGGCCTTCTACAGTGACTATTTTAGGCTTTTGGCTAAAGTAAGAATGTTAGTGAGGGAGAGAACTATAAATCTCCATCAAACGGTGATTCTACATAAGCCAGCAACAAAGAAGATTACGAGTTTGGTAACACAGGGCGAAACGCACCAGGCTGGGAAGTGTACAAGGAGGATTTCCCAGAATTACCCCAACTTGCACACACTGCCCAAATATCGCTCAAGAACTTGGGCACAAGATCAGCTGCAAAAATAAACACCCGGTCAGTTTTTTTTTTATTGCATCCTTGTTTTCTTCAGGAGTGCTCAAAACTAGCAAAATAGTTTCATAACAGAAAACCGGAAAGAAGGAACAAGTTTTGAACAGCAGAGAGTAATAACTAAAGTTCTAAGAGCTAGGAAAATAACAAAAATGCAGCACATCAATGTATGGCTGGTATTGTTAAAGGGGAGCTACACCACTTTTTCACCACAGTCAGAAAACACTGCTGATCGGTTGTAGAGGTTCCCAAGAGCACACACGCAAACATTATAGCGCAGCACGTGCCCTGGAATTCACAATTTATTATCAAAGTCGGCAAAGAATTACTTTCTTTTTTCTAAACAAACGATGGAAGATGCTCAAAAATCACTCGTAGAAAGCCGTCTAACAGCCAATGGCCAATTTGAACATGGCGCATTCTCACCCATGGCAAGGAATTCCAGGACACCCATGCACTTAGCTTTAGGTGTGTGTTGAAGAAACCCCAGATTGTCCAAATTAATCTGGTTAGTCACAACATGGCACGCCTCAGTCATATTGTGGTTTTAAAACACGAAACCGCAAAATCAGTCAGTTGATCCTTTTGGCAAATTACCTATTTTAATCCAACAGATACCGCATTATTGATTGATTCAAAAGCCTTCCAAGATTTAAAATACTTCTTGCAGCCATTCAGCCAGCGTGCAGATACAAAACAGTAAAACTAAATTAAATGTATGCAGTAGCCCACGTGATTACAAGGGCATTTCAGTAAAAAGGCTGCTTTACTACAAAAAAGTGCCATACTGGTTAACAAGATCATGAGTCCAAGTTCCGCGATGAGGATAATTGATTCACTATAGAAACCAAAGACCAAACGCAAAAAAGTGGTGACAAAGACAGCACCTGGCTGTCATGATATGCGCGGTAGGTTCATCTGGTGCGCGATGTTTGTGAGTTTGTGCTGTGCCGCACGCCGACGAAGATGACGATGAGACAAGGAAAAGGCGGAATCGTGTCGTCAAAGTCAAGCCAAGCCATGGGGAGAGAGGAGAGGAAGACGACGACGGGGCGTTGGAGAAGAAGGATCCGAACGAAAGAGGGGCAGGCTGAAGCGCTCGTCCGGTCGTGGTCCCGAAGCCTACCTGTGCCTGTGTTCCGCACGAGTCTGGCTCCCTTCTACCTGTGATCCAGCAGCCGGCGCCAGTCCGTTGTACTCGGATCCGGTCGTTTTCCAGACCTGGGCCTACTACTGGCTGTCCGGGACGTGCTTGCCACACATCGACTCGGCCTCACGCTCCGCTCCGACCATGCCTGAGTCATCGCTGATGTCGGCGTAAGACGCAACGCAACGCATCGACTCATCTGCCTTCGACGTCACACGGTGAAGTGTTTCAAACCTTGTGTAGTGCAGTGGGGGACTACGCTAAGCGTCAGACCTTGTCTTTCGAGAACGTGTGTCGTGCTTGTACCTAAGGCAGTTCTTCGCTGTTGCCATGTAACACGCCAAGCTTCATTATCGTTTTTTTCTTTTTCTTTTTGTGGCATTAAAGCCTTATAACTCAAGTTGCAAATGTCTTCGTCAGTCTCGACAACGATTATTTAAGTTGCCGAGATTACTCGAACCTTATCCCTCACAAGTGGCGTCCGCGCGACAGGACGAAGCCGTTTGCACTGGGTTGAAATCTTTAGGGAAGATGAGTGAGCAAGAGCTTATAACACTAGCGGAACGCATGGGGCTTCAAGGAGCCGAGCTAAAGACGTGGGTAGACGCGCGGTTAGAGCGGGCTCATGAGGAATCTGTGCAAGCGCGTGAAGAGCGTTCCGCGGAAAGGCAGGCGGCGAAGGAACGTTTGGAGATAGAAGAGAGAACTCTTCAACTGCGAATTCGACTAGCTGAGGTTGAAGGTAGCCGAGAGCCAACAGCGCGGGACCGCGAACCTGAGAGGAGTCAAAGCCGCCCGTACTTGATCAATCCTCACAACCTGATTCCAGTGTTTGACGAGGGGCGTGACGATCTCGATGCGTATCTCAAGAGGTTCGAACGCGTAGCAGTTGGTCAAGAGTGGCCTGAGCAGAAGTGGGCGACAGCGCTTAGTTTATGCCTCAGTGGGGAAGCATTGAAAGTCTTCGGTCGTCTGTCGCCAGAAGACTCAATGGATTACCAGAGTACGAAAGTGGCCTTGCTCCAGAGGTTTCGTTTCACAGCCGAAGGCTATCGCGAAAAGTTTCGGCAAAGCAAGCCTGAAGACGGCGAAACTGGTAAACAGTACGCCACGAGATTACAGAGTTACTTCGATAGATGGCTGGAAATGTCGGAAACGGACAAGGACTTTGCATCCGTGCGCAACCTCATTGTAGCTGAGCAGTTTCTGAATAACTGCCACGATCGCCTGGCACTTTTTCTAAGGGAGAAGAAATGCAGGACGGTAAAAGAAATGGCAGAAGCAGCTGATACCTTCTTGGAAGCCCAGCGGCAAACAAACTTGTTGGTATTTTGTACCAAGTCTGCAAACAACATTCCCAAGGAACAAGAAGGATTTACTTATACCCAGCCTCCTCTTAGATGTTTCGTCTGTGATCGACCCGGCCACAGAGCATCTGATTGCCGCACGAAACCCCAACGAGTCTTCTGTGGGCACTGTCGGAAGCCCGGCCACGATGCAAGAGCATACCCAAGCAACGGCGGGTCAAAGAAAATGACATCTTGCATCGTGTCTACTGACCAGAAGTCCGAGACGCCCCGATGTGCCGATGATTCATCACAAGATGAATATGTTGCTAGTGCACTCCGAACGCGCACCGCAACGGCTACACGAAACTTGCCGGTGTTACAGGGAGAAGTGTTTGGACATACTGTATCAGTCTTGAGGGATACTGGAAGCAACACCCTGGTCGTGCGACGTTCCCTCGTTCCCGATGATGCGCTGACGGGTACTACCGCCACTATTGTATTGGCCGATGATAGTTGCATCGAGGTACCGGAAGCAGAAGTACGGATTCTATCGCCCTATTTCACCGGAAATGCGATAGTCAAATGCATGACGTCGCCACTTTACGATGTCATCGTAGGAAATGTTCCCGGCGCCCGTGACGCTAATGACCCCGACTCAACGTGGAAGGAGTCAGCGAGCCTGAAGTCGGAAACTAATCAGGCATTGAATTCTGAAGAGAAATCCAAGGATGGATGCGGGACGAATAGCACAGTCATGGTTGGTGTTTCAAGCAAAGGACATCGCCGGAAGCTCACGACTGCTAAATTTGGAAACTTAGAGGTGACACAGGAGTCATTTCGCCAGAAACAAGAGGAAGACCGGTCGCTGGATGTTTGTAGGGCGAAAGTCGACACCCTCATCCGCGATAAAGGAGCCACATACCACTCATTTATGTTCGAGAAAGGAATCTTGTACCGCGTTTACCACTTGACTCCGGGTAAATCAGTTCAACAAGCGGTGGTTCCAAAGGCGTTGCGTGTCCATGTGTTGCACTTGGCACATGAATCACCGATATCTGGTCACCAGGGTATCAAGAAGACGAAGGACCGAGTTTTGGAGTCGTTTTATTGGCCCGGTGTACAGGAGGAGGTACGAAGATTCGTAAAATCATGCGATGCATGCCAAAGGACATATCCCAAAGGCAAAGTAGGCAAGGCGCCTCTTGGACGAATGCCTTTGATTGACACGCCATTCGAACGTGTGGCCGTTGATATCATTGGACCTCTGACGCCGATTTCAAAGAAGGGTAATCTGTACATTCTTACCCTTGTGGATTTCGCCACTCGGTACCCGGACGCGGTGGCTTTGCCCGCAATTGATTCGGCAACAGTAGCAGATGGACTACTGGAGATGTTCTCTCGAATAGGATGTCCACGGGAGATCCTCTGTGATCAAGCATCCTGCTTCACGTCAGGCCTGATGGAAGAGGTGAATGCTCTGCTTGCTATTCGACATTTGAGCTCGACGCCTTACCACCCGATATGCAATGGCTTGGTCGAAAGGT